CTCGAGGTGTCCCTGTTTGCAGATGACTGAATTGATGAAAAGAATTCATTCGATCGAAGACCAGGCAGAACTACAAAGGGATCTAGACAGGCTGCAGACCTGGTCCAGCAATTGGCTCCTGGAGTTCAATCCCGCCAAGTGCAAAGTCATGAAGATTGGGGATGGGCAAAGAAGACCGCAGACGGAGTACAGTCTAGGGGGCCAGAGACTACAAACGTCACTCAAGGAAAAAGATCTTGGGGTGAGTATAACACCAGGCACATCTGAAGCGCACATCAACCAAATAACTGCTGCAGCACATGGGCGCCTGGCAAACCTCAGAACAGCATTCCGATATCTTAATAAGGAATCGTTCAGGACCCTGTACACCGTGTACGTTAGGTCCATATTGGAGTATGCGGCACCAGTTTGGAACCCACACCTAGCCAAGCATTTAAAGAAACTAGAAAAAGTGCAAAGGTTTGCAACAAGACTAGTCCCAGAGCTAAGAGGTATGTCCTACGAGGAGAGGTTAAGGGAAATCAACCTGACGACACTGGAGGACAGGAGAGATAGGGGGACATGATAACGACTTACAAAATACTGAGGGGAATTGACAAGGTGGACAAAGACAGGATGTTCCAGAGACTGGACACAACAACACGGGGACACAGTTAGAAGCTGAAGACACAGATGAATCACAGGGATGTTAGGAAGTATTTCTCCAGCCAAAGAGTAGTCAGGAAGTGGAATAGTTTGGGAAGCGATGTAGTGGAGGCAGGATTCATACATAGCTTTAAGCAGAGGTACGATAAAGCTCATGGTTCAGGGAGAGTGACCTAGTAGCGACCAGTGAATAGGCGGGGCCAGGAGCTTGGAGTCGACCCCTGCAACCTCAACTAGGTGAGTACAACTAGGTGAGTGCACACACACACACACATACACACACAATGAGTAATCCTAGTAGCGACAAGCAAAGAGGTGGGGCTAGGAGCTGTGACTCGACCCCTGCAACCACACACATACACATGTATATACACACACAAACATGTAATAAGATCACAGTAAACAGCTCCTCGGTAATGTGATAAATCACGACAGCGCTTGAAATTTCACAATTTTTCAGTGTATGTTCTGCATACACAACCAATTATTCTTGCATAACATGAATACGTTTATGAATACATAAACATATGCGCTCATACACAGGTACATACATAAGCTAACCAGCTCATACATGACGACATACATAATTATGTCTTTATTTAATAATAGTTAACTAGGGTTGAAAATTTGAAGCCGATCGAAAAGGGCGTTCTGAAGTGATAAATGAAAGCTTCGAGGAAGTTAACAACAACAACTGTAACAACAGTAACAATAACAACGGTAAAAACAACAATGGAAACAATGGTAAAAACAACAGTAACAATATCAACAGTAAAAACTACAACCATAACCATCACCCCAACAAGCACGACACTAAGAACGTCAAGAACCATTGTGGCATGCAAAAAGTACGTAACCTTTATTCGGCGCATGTACACACCCTCATTTACAGGCTATCTCCCCCAACCAGCGAACCAGGTTGCTAAGAGTTGATGATGGGGCCCCGTCGTTCAACTAGTGACCAGGTTCTAGCCAATAAGAAGATGGTTTTGGCAATCGCAGAGGTTATGTGGGTACCACTCTCCTGTCTGCCCTTGTCATTCCCATTTAGAGCTGGTTGAAGCACGGTCTGCTATCTTGTGGCTTCTATTTCTGCCTTGCTTACCGTGGAGTGCACTATACTTATCACTGTACATAGTGTACATATTGCTGTTCTAAATTGGTGAAGGATAATATAAGTCCAAACTTTTTCGGGATAACAGGCCATTTGGAATCCTGGGTTGTAATAACCATCCTAAACCAGACCCAGCTAACTATCCAGGCTCGCTGCTACATTATTCCCGGAACGTCGCTCATAGTGTCAAGTTAATTTAGAGGTGTGGTACGCGGACGGTATGTTAGAGATGAAATACTGACGAGTTCTCCGTCTCTTCAGGGAGGCTGCTGAGCCCACCAGTGTACACTGTACATAGCGATCTCTCGTTAATGTGTGAGCCTGAGGGGAAGAGAGGAATTGTTTCACTGCTTGCTATGGTTACTAGCTTTTTGTTTTTGCTGCAACCTCTTACAGGGTGAGGAAGTGCGTGGAGAGTAATATTACGAGAGGTGGTGGAAGATGAGAAAAGGTGGTGCGTGGTATGCTGTGTGTTGTGGTGGTGTGTGTGTCTGTGTTGTGTGTATTGTGTGTTGTGGTGTGTCTGGTGCGTTCTCTGTGTTCTGTGTTGTGGTATATTGTGGTGGTGTGTTTTGGTATATTGTTGTGGGGCTTTGTGTTGTGTGTTGTGCTGTGTCTTGTGGTGTGTTGTATGGTGTGTTGTAGTGTTATATTGCAGTGGTGTGTTGTGGTGTGTTGTGTGTTGTGGTGTCTAATGAGTTGTGGTATGTAGTGTGTTGTGGTGTGTAGTGTGTTGTGGTTTATGCCGTGTATTGCAGTGCTGTGGTGTGTTTGTATTGTGGTGGTATGTTGGTACCCCCCAACTACCAAACTATCCATGCTATAGTTTTTCCTACACTGACCTCTACATGTTTTTCTACAAAGACATATTCATATTCAAAAAGCCATTTCTCAATAACCTCCAAGACAATGACCATTTTTGAGCTATGGCAGGGACCGCTGATGATCTAATATTCATCTGTCCAGCAATGCGGAAACCTGAGGTAATTAATTACTGGATTCTTAAAATTAAAGTTTTGGTTAATCTGGGAATAGTGACTTTCCTGGTGTTGAGGAGGCACATGATTATAGATGCGAGAAATGTTTTTAAATGCAACAAAAACCTGTTTTAAAGACATTAAATGGGAAAATCAACTAATCACACTTTCCATAATGGAACGTTTGTGTCGAAACTACCTAGCAGACGTTCCATGCTGAAATTCATCGAAGGAACCACTTTCACCAACACGATTCACCTGGGGAACTTTTATGGGTCAAAAAATCACACCCACATGTTCCAGGGTGTGAGTTTTGCAACATAAACGTGAGATTATTCAGTCGGAGATGGTTCTCATAAAAATAGTCTTTAATTATTAAATTGATTTACCGATGAATTATTTTTCAAAAAATATACAGTTTTATTCTTACAAATGTAAATATAATTAGAAATATGCATGCATGTAATAATACAGGCAGAGAAACAGAAAGAAAACAGATACTGGAGCCTCAGGATAAAATACCTACCTGCAGTTCCTGGCACCACACATAAGCGTATTGTTTTCAACTCCTCCCGCTAATGCTTGCTCATCTTCACATCATGTAATCTCATTATTTCTGCCTCATTCAAATTTAATTAGGAGCAATCTAGGTTAAACGTTAAATAATGAATATATAATTTCTGGTATTGCTTGCGATCGTATAGAAACGGACTTGTAAACATGGTAGAAAACGATGTGAAGGAGAAAGCACCGACAAAGTCTACGGATAACACCCGCCGCATTTCAATGCTCGGGAGAATTACGCTCACTGTTATTGTCGTCACTTGTCCTGCTTTTTAAATTTTTCCTCCTCTGTCTCCAGTTGTCTTCTGATTTTCTTCCAGTTCTCTTGGCATGATAATGGTTCAGAGGTTCTTGGCATGATAATGGTTCAGAGGTTCTTGGCATGATAATGGTTCAGAGGTTCTTGGCATAATAATGGTTCAGAGGTTCTCCCTCAAGTTGAATACAAATATGAACTGTCACGCTAAAGTGCTAAACAGACATTGAATTGTATCTTCACACCGTGTGGAGCTGCATAACCCCCATGGGTTTAGCACTTCACGTGCCAGGACCTGAGTCTCGACCCCTGCAACCACAATTAGGTGAGTACACACACACACACACACACACACACACACACACACACACACACACACCCCACACACACACACACACACACACACAAAGTGTTTTTAAGGCGTGCAGTAACTGCTAGCAGTAATCAGTGGTAGTGACAACGTCAGTGAACAATCCTACGAGTGATAACTAAAGTTATTAGTTAAAAAAAGTCGAGAGGAAGCCTGAAATCATTAATTTTTCAAAGTGCCAAACTGTTGTGGGTCTACTAGGACTGTTGCCACACAGATTCAAACATACAAAGATCAAAGTGAGTGTGGAAGCGGGTGTTCAAGAATTACCAGCGTTTGGTTAACAAGTGAAATGTGGGGCACCATACAGTGAGAGTGAAAAAGTTAATAAGCAAAAGGAGAAAGGAAAAATAAAATATACAACAAGGGAAGGTGGCAGTAGTAGGCCTGCTGAGGCAGTGACGTCACACAAGTTGTGTACCATTATACATATAAAGTGAAGTGTATATAATGTGAAGTGTATACTATCATAAGTGAAAAGTGAAATCGCATGAGGAACGTGGGATGTATGAGCATATATGGTTATAAACATCACGGGTGAAGGATCTCCAAAATAGTGATTTAAGGCTTATGTATGACGACTACGTCATCAGCATCTGGCAACTTATCACCGCACCGCTGCCAGCGCAAGTATCACTCACCTATTGTGGTTTGCATGTTGCAAGCTCTGGCTTCTGGTCTTGCATCACTGTTTGATACTGGTCACTCACACCTGCAAGCTATTACCAGAATTAGAGTAGAAATAGCATAGATAAAGTGAAGATAGTGTTGACGAGTGTAAGGTGTAGAGCAGACTAGCGAGTGGTAGCGCAGTATTACTACTGGCAGTTATTAGCAGCATGAATACCTAGGAAGCTAGGAAGTCCTCTCTCGATGTGAACAAGGAATAGGATAATAACCACCCAATAATTGATACTTTAAAACCATTAAGGGGAAAAAGTGGAGTAGCATTACTAGGGAAAAACAGCTGGGACTAAATTTGAGCCTACACGACAGAGAGGTATAACGGATCTTTCAACCACACCAACCCTAACCCCCCTAACATCTCTCACTCACACACACACACACACACAAGGGTAGACACTCATAGAAGCTTTAGACCCTAGTAGCAATTTCCGCTTTTTATAACCCAGAATTACTGGTATGTATTAGCAGTATCTCCCCCTCATACCTCCCCCATACACATGAACACACATATACACACACACACACACACACACACCTGCACTAGGACAAAATGGTAACTAACTAGGCGAATACACACACACACATACACATACACACACACACGCACATATGCACATTCACACACGCACACACACACACACACACACACACACACACACGTGGAGGAGTCACGCGGTTTGAGTTCGTGTTTTGGTGGTAATTTCTGACTGTGCCATAAGGAATAGAGTGTGGGATATAGGCGTGTGCACGCATAAGAGTGCATATACTCACTTAAGCCCCGAAAAAAGGAAATATAAGTGATCACAGAAAAGAAAAAAAGGAAATATTGGCTGAGTGTTTAGTGAGGGCCGTTGGAAGGGTGAACTGTTGTCAGGCCTAAATAGTGTTGCCATAATAACGCTGTGGGGTATTTTGAAGAATAAGTGCGACTCAAGACCAGGGAGATAAGAGATAAGTATAGATGTGTCAGTAAATACAGTGAGTGAGTGAAAAAAATAGAAGAGCTAGAGACTATAGTGCAACAGGGAAATTAGTGGAAAAATTACCGAGAAGCATCAAACATCAACTTCTGGGAAGGACAGCCTGCAACGTACTCCCACTGCCACCGCAAGTAATATTCACCTAGTTTGATTTTGCATGGAGTCAATAGTACCTGTCTCTAGCGGGAAAATTGGGGGGGTCACTCTCCTCGAGCTAATCAAATTAGAATAAGCAGCATTTACGGGCCCTTTAAAAAAAATTTTAGAGGTAGCGCATAAAAGGCGAACCCCTATTTTTTTTTATTTTTAAACCCCGAAAAAAAAAATTTTTTTTTTTAAACCGTAAGCCAGTACGGGGGAACCCAAGAGATCGGTACAAATCCCTACAAAAAGTAGTACAAACGGGGGAAAATAAGGACTTTTTTCATAAACATAGGGACCCACTGGGTGGGGAAAGTTTCTCTGTTGGGCCCACTTGAATAGCTGTGCACACACACACACAAACCAATGCACACACAAACACACATATGCACCCCAAAACACACACACATATGCACACACACACACACACATATGCACCCACACACACACCCCACACACACACCACAACACACCACACACACCCCCAAAACACACACACATACAGACACACACACACATAAACAGGATTTTACACCTTCCTTGTGAAATTACCCTAAAACCCCTTTCCCTTTTTCCCCCCCCCCATTCTCTCCCTCTCCTCTCCTCCTTTTTCCTCCCCTCCCTCTCTCTCTCTCTTTTCTCCCCCTTTCCCCTCATCCTCTCTCCCCTTCCTCTCTTACTCTCTCCTTCCTTTTCTTTTATCTCTTTCCCTCTTCCCATGCCCACCCCCCCCTCCTCTTCCCTTTTTTTCCCTTTCTCTCTCACTTTCCCCCCCCCCCTTTTTCCCTTCTTTTCCCCCTCCTTTTTAGGGCCCCCTTTCTCTCTTTTCCTATCTCTCACTCTTTTTCCCCCTTTTTCTTTTTCTCTTTCTCTCTCTTTTTCCTAAAAAAAAAAAAAACAAAAAAAAGGGTTTGGGGATTTCGAAAGAATCAGGGATCAGATGACAATGGAACGGGGTGGGGAAAAAGGGGAATGGATGGGGAACAGGGAAAAAGGGATAGAGCAAAAATTTGAAGAAGAAAATTAGGAGCTTTTCGAAAAAAGGACAAAGAGCTCCCTTGAAAGGGGAAAAGGGGTTTGGGAGAAGGAGACGAAGAATTGGGAGGCACAAGTCAAAAACGAAAATTTAGCCAGGGTAAAGGTCCTAGAATTTGAGGTAAACGGGCCGAAGCAAGTCTCGGGGGTAGGACCAAGAAACACACCATACGAAGATAAAGAGGCTAAAAGGGAAGGGGAAGGAGTATAATTATGCTAAGGTCAATATCGGGGCCTGCAAAGAAGGGCCAAGAGGGGAAAGGGGAAAAGAGAAAGATGGGTGAAAGATGGAGAGGGAGATTAGGCCCGAATGCTGGGGCAAAACCCAAAGCTCCCCAAGAGCCACGGGAAAAAAATCAAGGGAAAATGCCCACAACAGACGGGAAACCCCAGAGCACAGGGGGAAAGGGGGCAAGGGAGAAGGAAGGGCAAAATCATAAAAAAACCATGGGCTTCGGAGAGAGGGGGAAAAGGGGCACACACTAAAAGAGGGCCCGGGAAGAAAAAAAGGGAAAATTGAAAAAATTCTTTCAGGGGAAATGGGGGGAGAAGACATGGAGGAGATTTTTAAATTTTTCAAAAGAATGGGGGTTATTAAAAGGGGAAAAAAACCGACCGTCAAGCGATTTTTCGGACAAAAACAGTGCAGAACGGGACCCTTTCCAAGAAAAACCCACGGTTGAAAAGCTGGGAAGAGTACAAAAAGGTTTTTCCTAGACGAGAAAAGAACACAAACAGAGAGCGGCAGCTGAGGGAGGGGAAAAAAAAAAGCGAAAGGACCCTAGGAAAGGAGACAAGGATGGAACCACAGAGGTCAAGCAGAGCAAAACAAACAGAAGGGAAAGCACACACAACAAATCCCCAAAACCCCCACAACCTATCACACCACCCCCAACACACAATAAAAACCCAAAGCCCACAGCTTCCCCCAACCCCCAAACCCCTTTAAAATTTCCCCACAGTATGCTACCGG